TGTAGTGAACCGTGACTTCCCAGGGTAATAGGTAAATAAAAGGTAAACGCCCTACAAAAATGAGAAGTAGATCGACTAAAGGGGGTGGTTCTAAAACCCCCCAATCTTCTACGAACTCCTCCACGATTAAGAAATACTTGCCCGTACAAGAAAAAAAAAGTCCAGTGTCACAAACGCAAGAGAACCACAGTGAAAGGCCCGCTAATCTTGGTGGAGATCAAACTAGACTGTCATTGGGTAATGGGGATAAGAACCAAGATAAAGAAAGTTCAAGTATGGGAAAATATGGGAGAACAAAGAAGTGTAGAACAAGAAGGGCCGTTAGGTCTTTTTTTAAAAGTGGATGATCTAACAGAAATGTTTGCAAAATTGGAGACTGTTCTGAAAAAGGAGATCGGGACTCTAGTGACCTTGGTCATATTTTTTGCGTATGGAAGAAATAGAGAAAAACAAAAGAACATGCTAAACAAATTAAGAACTTAGAAGGGCAAGTAGAGTAGAGGTGGAGAGAACAGAGAGAATTACTACTGAAATTGAAGGATCAGGAGAATTGCAGCAGAAGGAATAATTTAAGGATCAGAGGTTTACCAGAGGAAATAGGACAGGAAGAGGACTTATTGGGGAAAATGAAAAAAATCTGTAACCCAACAATGGGAAAATCAGAGAAGGATCATTTAAAAGTGGACAGAGTGTATAGGGTTAGACGGCCAAAGGGTATCCCAGCAGAAAGTCCCAGAGATGTGATTGCTAGGTTCCAGGACTTCGGAGACAGAGAACGGATATGGAAAAGCCTGCGGGAGATCAATGAAATAAAATATGAAGCAACAGTCATACAAATCTTTGCAGATATTGCCCCAGAGACACTAGCAAGGAGGAGATCCTTAAAATCACTTAATTCATATGAGAGAGAAAAAAAAAAAAAAGTTTGATACAATTGGGGCTTCCCAGCCTGATTAATCGGGGTGAAAACATGGAAGATCGGCGAGGCTGAGATGCCCAGAAGAATATAATGACTTTTGTCGGATGGAGCAGGTTGGCGTCTCGGGAGACATGGCATTTGGCTGCCTGCATGCCAGGAATGTCATCTATCCAGGTAAAGGAGAGGCGGTCATGTGTCGAGTTTCACCCTTAAAAAAAAGGAATCATTAGTAGGGATTTCCCGAGTCAGATTCCAAGGCCGAATGTAGGCCAGGAGGAAAGGGGGGGTGGGGGGAGGAGGGAGATGGGTGTGAGGGAACGGGATGGGGAAGAGGAAGAAGGTACACATTATAAACTATTTCTTACTGTGTGAAGGAAAGTTAATAGGTCAAAATAACTATGGGTGAAAAGAATGGAATTACGTTTATGACTTATAACGTGAAAGGGCTACCCAAACAAAAGACACAAGATACTCAGGGAAGTCAAGCAATGCTCAATAGATGTAATATTTCTTCAAGAAACCCATTTAACCCGAAATACAAAATGTGAAATTATACTCGAAGTTTCACCAAATGTGGTATTACGCTGATTCATCTGTAAAAGGGGCGAAGGGAGTATCAATTGGGTTTTAAAAAAAAAAATAAAAAATTTTCCCTGGGGAGGACAGAAAGGAAGACCCAGAGGGTCGGTTTCTGTTCATCGGGGAAAATGACAAGGAAGGGAATATACATTAGCTAATATCTATTGCCCAAATGAAAAAACCCAGCTAAGTTTATGGAGGGGGTGTTAAGGAAACTCGCTGAATTTAAAAAAGGTGCATCTGGTAGTAGCAGGAGATCTTAATGTGTTTAGATCCTCAGTGGGATGCATCATGCACAAGGAGAGAAGAGGATAGGAGTTTGAAATCACTGACTGAAGAAGTTATTATATAAACATCAATTGGTAAATGTGTGGAGAATAAAATCTGAGAGAAAGAGATTAAACCTTCTCTCATGTGCATGGTTTGTATTCAAGATTGGATTACATAATGATTGAGCATAGACAGTTGGAGACATTGATAGGATCCAACATAGAGGTAATGTCAATCTCTGATCATTCTCCCGTCACAATGAGGTTACAAGTAGGCAGAGGCAAAGATAAAATACTCTCTTAGAGGTTAAATTAAATGCTTTTTCAAAGACCCAGAGGTAGAGAAAAAGGTTAAAGTGGGAAATTGAACAATTTTTTGAGTTAAACGAGACTAATGAAATATCTGTGGCAACAGTCTGGGAGACACAAAGCCTATATAAAAGGGGAATAGGAATGGAAAAGAAGAAAGGAAAAAAATAAAGTTGGTGATAGAAGAACTTCATAAACTTGAATACATAAAAGAACGAAATAGATATTTACTAGAATATTGAAAAGAGAGGAGTAAAAAAAGACCTGATGGAACAAGAAACGAGGATATTTAATGAGGTTTCAAAGGAAAGATACAAATGGGGGAATAGACCCGGAAAATATCTAATGAGAAGACTTAAGAATAAGAAATCTAGAAAATTTTATAGAAAAAATAAAAAAGATGGGAAGGGAGAAATGGCGTACAATACATCTGATATTGCTAGGAGGTTTTATAAATATTATAGTGAACTTTATGAAGTGAGGGGTGGCAACCAAAAAAGGAAAATGAAGAGGAGAAGAAAAAAAAAAACAAAAAACAAATCAGCCAGAAATATTTAAGTAGAATTGCCACGAATAACGAAAAATTAGAGACTCTTGAGTCCTTTTACTGCGGAGGAAATTAATTTAGCTATAAAAAACCCGACCATAGGTAAAACTCCAGGACCATATGGGTACACAGTGGGGTATTATAAAAATTTCAAGGACCTTCTTGTCCCCAAAATCTGTAGATATATGAATGCGATTGGAGAGGGGTTGGAAATGAGGGAAGAGTCATTGCAGGCCCACATTACGCTTATTCTAAAGGAGGGGAAGGATGGCTCACAATGTGCAAGTTATAGGCCTATATCATTATTAAATACAGACACTAAACTTTATGAAAAGGTCTTGGCGACAAGACTGAAGGATTTGATGCCTGAATGGGTGCATTTGGATCAGGTGGGCTTTATACCGGGAAGAGAAGGGAGGGAGAACGGCCTGATATCCCTGATTATGGTACAAAGGGATAAAAGAGAAAAAATGCCAGCAATACTCTTGTCGATTGATGCTGAAAAGGCTTTCCATAGGGTTAATTGGGGATTTATGTTCGATATATTGGAAACATTGGGAATGGGGCCTAAAATGTTGAACTGGATAAAAGGATTATATAAAACTCCATCAGCGCGGTTAAAGTAAATGGAGCTCTTTCACAGTTTTTTAGAATGAATAATGGTACCAGACAGGGATGCCCCCTGTCCCCTTTACGGTTTGTTTTGTCCCAGGAACCATTCTTGGAGAGGGTTAGGAAATGTATTGATATAAAGGGGATAAAACTAGGAGAAAGAGCATAAAGTAGCCGCTTATGCAGATGACATGCTATTCTATGTTACTAATCCCAGAATAACGCTGCCCAATCTAATAAAAGTATTAAAACAGGATGGTGAGATGTCAAACTTGAAAATAAACCCTGTAAAATCTGAAATTTTAAACATTAACCTTTCAATGTTAGAGAAGACGGGCTTACAAAAGGAATTCCCATTTACTTAGAAAAGAAATGAAATAGGTTATCTTGGAGTAAAATTGACCCCCTCTTCAAAAAGCTTATATCAGGCAAATTAAATAAATAAAATTAAGGAAGAGCGGAGAAGACTATCAAAAGGAGGAGCCTCGTGGATTGGACAAATAAATCTGGTTAAGATGGTGATACTTCCAAAGATTTTGTATAAATTTCACATGCTGCTGATTGCCCTCCCAGGGTCCTTTTTTGGGATAATTAAAAAGAGGATTACTAAATTTATTTGGGCTAACAAGAAACCAAGAATTTGCTATGAGGTTTTGAGCAGAGCAAAAGGAAATGGAGGCTTGGGATTACCTAATGTAAGGTTGTACTACACAGCTGTTATTCTATCACGAGTGGTGGATTGGACATTTAACTCACAGGGGAAGAGATGGGTGAATATGGAAGGGGCATTAAGCAAATCAGTTAGAGTATATGGATCCCGTATAGGTTTCGCACATTTGATGTAGATATTCGTTCACTGACTAGGATAGTTTTGGGCACGTGGGATAGAATACACAGGTAAAAAAAAAAAAAAAAAAAATGGAGATTTAATTCACTGATGATTCCACTAGTGGGAACTGAGTTTTTACCCCCAGGGAAGGATAATATTAGTGGGAATTTGATAAAAGGACAAGAATGCACATTTGAAAGATATTATAAAAGATGGGAAATTGTACACATTTCAAGATTTAAAAAATAAAGATTTATTTGGCATGATGGATGATTGGCGGTATTACCAGCTAAACCATTTTGTAGCAAGTCTCCCACAACCGCTGAGAACATTGGAAGATATGTACCCATTGGAAAAATTATTAAATGGAGATACAACCCCAAAACATGTTGCCTCAAAAGTATATAAGATTCTCATGGACATGGAAGGAGGTGACCCCCTGGGTTTATGGGAAAATGGGAGAGGGAACTGGGAGTAGAAATTAACCAACAGCAAAGGAATATGGTTTTCAAATTACCTCATAAGGCGATAAATGTGTACAGTAGAAAAACTATAAAATGTATGGCTAGATGATATATAACACCAAGGGTAGCCCATAAGCAGAAAGTAGAGATCTCCCCATTGTGTTGGAGAGGATGTGGAGAAGGAGTTACAATGGCACACATATGGTGGAGTTGCCCGAAAATACAACAACTATTGGAAGGAAATAATCCAACTTGCCCAGGAAATATGCGAGATAATCTTTCAGAGACCCATGGAAGTGTTTATTTTATTATTTTTAACCTTCTTTGGGGATGGGATAGGGGAAAATATGGGGTTATTGGAATATATATGAAACATTTATATAATTGATTATTTTTCTATTTTGTATAATAATCAAATAAAAAAAAATTAAAAAGTAGTAGACTGCAGTGGTACATGTATACTTGATTACGT